AATCTTCTCTTGGATCCATTGGTTAAGTAGATGGGAAATATAATCATGGAACTTTGTTTTTTTATGACAACTTCAATAAGATTGTTGAATGTTATGAATTTTTTCACAAAGATGAAAATATTCAACTTTATCTCAATGGAGAAATGGATTGTGAAGATGATGGAACTTGCTCTGATGATCAGATTGACTTCTTTGATCAGAGAAAAGTCAACATCCATGTAAAGTGCTGTCTGGAAAACCTTTATTGACTTTTTGTATAAAACTGGAAAAAAATGAAATTATGATATACAGTTTTGATTATTAGAAAAAGAGGTAATTCTTAATAAAATGTAGCTTTTGTAGATAAATTGGATTTTCCAAGATAAATGTCAGTATTAAAAATTATATATAGTTGTCGAGTGTAAGCACTTAACAATAAGAGATCACAAAATTGTTTTTAAATTAAAGCTGACCATTACTTTATAGCAAGGCCTACTATGGTAATCAATCAATTATCAGCAAAACATATTATGTATCTTAGTGAGAAAGCAGTTATAAATCTTAGTGGATCTTACAGTGGTTAATCCTGCCATTGTTATATACTGTGCAGGACAATGAAAAGGTCACCTTCCATTAGGTCCTGAACATTCTGCTGCCAGTCAGAAATATAGATCTATGAGCTGGCAGATAATAGTGGATAAAACTATCATTAATCAGAGAGTGAGATCTGAGAGCTAAAACAACCAGGTGGACAATTAGCTTATGATATTTTTTTTTGCTAGTGGAAATCAAATAGTAAGTTTTCATTGATAATGACAGCCAGAAATAGTACTGTAATGTGTTTTTGTCACCCAGATAATAAATCTAAACTGTTAGCTAGAGAAGATCAAATAACTGGCTTCTAACTGCTGATTGTGATATTCACCATTATTGGTTTTTGGGTTTGGGATTTTTTTTTATTTTTCTCTTTTTGGCATAGCAATAGAAAATCAAGTTGAAATCAAATTGCTACGGGAAAACAACTAGATTTCTCTCTCATTCTGAGCAATTCTACTTGACATTATTCTTTTTCTGCAATGTAAACCACCAGTTTATAGATCAATCATTGGAATTTGAAGATTCTTGTTACTTTCTTGTTCCTCTCACTAATTCTCTTATTATTTCTTGCTTCTGAAAGGGATATCTATGAATGGGTTCATATAGAGACATTTCCATGTTCCTGTGTGGCTCCTGACTTTCTATCGGCAATCAGCAGATTGCTTGAAACTGAAAAGAAATGTTCTTACATAAATCAAATATTATAAAACAGTAGTGTGCATTTTTGTGACCAAGGGCTGAACTTGATACTTTTTAAGAAGCTGAGGACTTACCCAGAGTTGGTGACATCCTATCATATGAGACTTGATTTGGAGTGAGCTTGGAAGTTGTTTTTTTTTTAGTATGATCATGCTTACTTAATGTCATAGATTAATATTTTATCGAATTCTGATACTATGGAAGTGCTCTGAGTTTCAAGCAGTTAAGATTTGGAGGGATCCCAGTGATGCAAAAAGGGACTTCAGGGCCTTATATAGGTTTGGGGCTGCAAAAGGCAGTACCATAATTTTTCAGTCATTCAGATATTCATAAAGGATGCTGGTCATAAATATTGAAAATAAAAGGAAAAAAACCCAACAACCCCTAGAATGAGTGTGCAGGGTTTTTGATTTCAAGAAATAAACCATCAAAACCAGCAACTAAGTTGCACTTTTTTGGTAAGTCAACAAGTTCATCATCAAAAGATTAAAAAATAGAAGTTGCAAAAAGCTAAGAATCTGTTACGAGAAACAACTGAGAAACTTTATTTAGACTTTTATCTTTGCAGGTACCACTTCAGCATACTGAAAAGAAACCTAGATTTATGTGGCATTTTGGAAGGTCTAATTGGGAATAGATAGCTGTTAAATGAAATTGGGCTAGGATAAGAAAATTAGAGGTTCTATAAGCAAATAGTACTTTTAAATATAATATATATAGCATTTAGTGTAGCATGGCATGCCTTTGGCTACTCTTCTGACTTTCCTTTAAAATCTCTGGATTAGTTTTAATGAAGCTATGATCTTCCCTCTTCTTAAGCCAACAATTCCACCCTATTAGATAACTTTTGTCCTATCTCCAATCTTCTCTTTCTGGGGAAGGTGGTTGAGAAGGTGATTGTGTGGCAACTGCAGAGGTTCCTGGAAATCAATTATCTAGATCCTTTCCAATCAGGTTTCAGGCCTCAATATGGGACAGAAATGGCATTGGTCATGCTCTTGATGATCTCTGGGAGGAGCAGGAGAGAGTAGTACGTTCATTCTAACTCTACTTGATCTCTCGGTGGTTCACATCTTTACTCTGTGGTCACTTTCAGTCAATGTTGATAGGAAATGAGACATCCGGCTCTAGTTTCCTGCTTTGTGGGGTCCGATGGGGCTTGATACATTCTCCAATTTTGTTTAACATCTATATAAGGCCGCTGGGCGAGATCATATGCTATCATGGGCTAAGATATAAATATACTGACAACATCCACTAACACCCATGTCTTGCGCCATGCTGAGTTAAGTGATGCTATGACCTCCCTCTCACAGTACTTGGAATCTGTTAATGGCTGGATAGGGAGCAATAGGTTAAAAGTAAACCCTGGCAAGGATTCAAGGTACTGGTTATCACCTTCAAAGCCCTGGGCTTCGGACCAGTTATTTGAAGGCCTATCTTTTCCTGGCTATATCTATCTGACTCACCAGAGCAGGGAGGCAGGGAATCCTACAGATCCCTTTTCCTAAGAAAGTTCATCTAGCAGGCCAAGAAGAAAGGTCTACTTCACTCATGGTGGTTCCCTCTCTGTGGAACATTATCCCCCTGGAGATAATGTTGGCTCTCACTTTTACACTCTTTCACAAGGTCCTGAAGACCTGGCTTTGCCAATGAGCCTGGGGACCCCAGAGTGGAATGGACTCATCAAGTGGCTTACTTGATTGTGGGTTGTTGCCAGGTGGATGAGGAGTTATTCCTTTCTAATGTCTTTATATTGGGTTTTTATGTCAGTAACTGACATAAGTATCTTAGTCACTGAAAGTGAGTTGGTTGAACATACAAATGTTCTTAAATAAATAAATTTTAATCCAATGTTTAATTGCTTTTTAAATAAACAATATTTAATTTCATTTATTTTTACTTTGCCCATCTCTCTGTCTGAGAATGAATAAATATTTTGTTAAATTACTGTAAATAAGGTTTTTGGAGATTAGATTAAATAATCAATATTTATAGAAAGACGGGAGCTCCAATCACACTTTGCTCGCACAAGCATGAAACCAAAGGCACCAGCCTGAAGATGGTGAGTGGGACCTCTCAATCTTACACGGGAAAAGACCCAAATACACCAAGACCTGCATACCTGTACCTGAGAAAATCTAAGAGTGTGTGTGTGTGTGTGTGTGTGTGTGTGTGTGTGTGTGTGTGTGTGTGTGTGTGTGTGTGTGTTGCTCTTTGGCTTTCACTGGTATAACATATTTTTTGGCAACCAATTCAGGTTTTGTTCAAGAAAATTATCAGTTCAATAAAAGATATAACAGTGTTGCAAAAGAACAATCAAGGAAGCAGATGGAATATTGCTACAGTATACATATGCATGAAAACAACTTTTGATTTTGTGCATATGTTACATTTAATTAATTAACATTGTTAATATACATAACATGCATAAATGTANTACGTTAAATTTTAATTACCTCCAACAAAAACAAACAAAAACAAACACTGGTGGTTTTAAAGAAGAGATTGGATAACCATTTGTCTGAAATGCTACAGGGTTTCCTGCCTAAGCAGGGGGTTGGACTAGAAGACCTCCAAGGTCCCTTCCAACTCTGTTATTCTATTTCTATATACTACAGAAAGGTAACAATAGTGTTATTGGCCTTCTGCTAATATGCATGCCAGAAGGTTGTCTGCAGCCTGATCCATTACCCTTGATAGTCTTTATCACTAGTGCTAATAGTTTACTTGCCCCAAGTGACCAGTGACAGAAGTGGGAAGAATTACAGCAGTCACCATTTTTCCCCAATCTTCTCCTTCTGTTCAGATTTGAATCTAAATGGCTAAAGCAGGCAGGCAGTGATAAGAAGAAAAACTTGGAACAAACATTAGAAGTTAGAATATTAATTGCTTCATATAAATGTTTCAAAATATTACTAGTAGACAGCATTGCAGGGATTTATTTTAGCAATCATGAACAATTACCTATTTTTTCAATACAAAAGGCACTCAACAATATGCAAAATTTAAAAATTAAAAACTAGTTATAGAATAAGTTATATTAATAGGCACAATTCTCACAAAAGTGTAGAACATGCACACTAAATAATAGAGAAAAATAGAATCTTAATGATTTCAGAGCGAAACGTTTGATGTTATACTTGAAATCTCTGTTTTTTAAAATATTCATAATTTTTCATTTTGTTTGTGTCCTGTATGTATTAAAAACATTTTTGTATGAGGATGCGTGAAATGTATTTCAAATACTTCACAGCCTACTTTAAGAGAAATAAAAATTCACATACACAGTACATATATCATACATAAATAATTGTGGTGTTATTTGCCAGTATCCTGATAAGAGTATTTTCTTTTCCAGCTAATAAATTGGGATGAAGATGCGGGAGAAGTACATACATTTTGAATCCAGAAAATATTTTTCTTTTTTGTACCACCCTATTCTTCCCTCATATAAATTCAGAGATGGTATCGTTTCTTCTTATTTGAAAAAGCATCAAATATTTTTAATAGACGGGCAGAATCTTGATTGTAGCAAAAATATTGGAGTATATAAATTTGCTTTTTTTTAATCAGACATCTTTGCTCTTGTTGAAATTGGTTATCTCTAAAATCTCTTACTGAGAAAAAAAATATCATTCATTAACTATTATGTTTAAAATAACTGGACATCTTGGCATTTTTTAATTAAATTAAATTCATTTGGGGTTTTATTTTTTCTTTAGGAATGATTTGCTGATGGTGTGTCGCCAACTGAACATGGAAGAATCTGTGATTGAAATCATGCATCAGCTTGGTGCAGATGAACATGGAAAAATTTCCTTTCAAGATTTCACACGATGTCGTATGCAGCTTGTGCGAGAAATCAGAAAGGAAGAAGTGGAACTTTCTGTGAAAGTGGATGACCCATGTAAAAAGAAAACATTAAGGGATAGAATAGCTTCATGGCCAACCAGCAGCAATAACAGTTTAGGTCAGTGTGGTTTAATTATATCTATTACCTAAAAGTCCAACACAATTAGGAAGATTAACTGCAATATTTATATATTTAATTTATTTTAAAAGATTGATAAACCCATCAGAATATCAAATATTTTGAAATCTGGTTCAAAGTCCAATATGAAATAGCCACCACCATATTTATAATATTATCTATATTGCAAATTATGCTGTTTGCCTTTAAATTATTCCTCATTCAAGCTAGCTCTGGGTTGTAAACCACAATAAATATATTTAAATCCTAAATTTATTAACTAAAACTCTGAAGAGAAAGCACTATATTTTGCATGTTCCTAAGAATCAGTCTGTTGCAGGCATACTATATTAGAAACCACTAGGCACATCTGGAGTTTTGAAAACATGTTATAAGCACTCTTAAAGAAACTGCCTCGGTGGTCATTGCAGTCTTAAATCATTACTTGGCTAGAAGGTATATTGAAGTTCCACCCTACAACTATTTCTGGTCTTCCTCCTGTTCAAGGCAGCAGTTCTGTTCAAAAACGAAATCTTATGCAAGATTACACAAGCTTGCTTCTGTATTTAATGATGTTTGTTCACTTCGGTGTGCAATACTTTTGTAAACATGTTATTTAATATCATAACTATCAATTTGAAAATATTTAGCAAATATCGGAGTGATAGATGGGCTAAATACGTTGCCAAAGGAGTGGTCTGCAATTTTCTAATTTTTAAAAAAGATTACCTCTGAAGCAGTGCCATGCAATCAGGGGAGGCAGGGCTTCACCACTGTCATCATGAAAAGGAAAAAAAATTAAA